ACGTATAATTCTTTATGTTATCTTTTTTTTAGTTCATGCGAAGCTGGATGTTTTTCATGTACTGGTCCTACTTGCCCATCATCAGGTAAATTACCTAATTAACATTGCCTAAACCAAGTAAAGTTTACCAGCATGCATACTTCTTAGCCCACACTTGTTTATTTTCCAACCTAACAAAAAAAAAAATCAATCTCTGTGAAAATTGTTACAACTATTTCTTTGTTCTAACAGCAACGCAACTTACATGGACAACACATTCCCAAAAAGCAGCAACCCACGTAACATTACCAAGCTCCGTAGTGGCAGCACCACAAGCAACGGCAACCAGTAGTTCCGTTATGGTAGCACCATTACATTCAACAGCAAAAGCAGTTTTTTCAACAGCATCATCACGCATAAAAGTAACCACAAGTTCCCTGATGGCAGTGCAGCACGAAATAATAACGATGCTCTCGCTAATAAGAGCATCCCCCTCCACAGTGCCAACAGTTATCTTTCCAAGAGTAACCAGAATTAGCAAACCTGCAATGCCACCCTCCGTTTCACATTCAAAAGTGACAAGAACATCTTTAATAGCAGCAACACCTTCGGAAATGACAAACCAACCTCTTACAGCAACCTCCCCTTCAAAAGCAACATATGGCCCCTTAACGGCACGAATATCCTTAAATGAAACAGAAACTTTCCTTCCGGTAGCATCGTACTCGAAAGAAAGAGCGAGTTTTATACTGGCAAAACCACTTCCGCGAAAATCGAAAAGCTCCTTACCAGCAGGGGTAACTTTAAATACAACAGTACTTGGTCTCCCTGGGGCATTAAGTTCAGAAGTGATGGGAAATTTTTTCTCTGCCGCACCAGTATCCTCCATACCAGTAGTATCACCTTTAAAAATGCTGACAGGCTCTTTAACCACAACGCGAACCTCAGAATTGAGAGCGAGCTCTCCAACATCAGCTCTTCCTGCCAATAAGATTGCTTCCTCCCAACAAGCGGTACCAACCACTAAAGACATTTTGATACCAGAAGCGTCTCTTGCAAAAGTAAGGACGAGTCCCTTAAAAGCCACGCAACTTTTAAGAAGTTCTATTCCCGCAGATCAACCTCCAAAATCTTCAGAGGTAATAGAAAGCTCCCCACGAGCAGTACAACCTTCAAAAGGGATAGCAACTTCCCTATCAGTGACGTCAACTACAAAAGGGACGGAAGGCTTTCTGACATTAGCGCCATCTATGAAAGGGACAGTAGTCTTCCCATCAGCAGCGCTCACCACAAAAGAAGAAACAAGCCCCCAACTTGTAGCACCACCTTCAAAAGTGAGGTCAAGTTCCTCATCAGCAATATCACCTACAGAAAAGACAAAATGGACGCTTTCAGGAGCACAGCCTTCAAAAGAGACAGTGATATTCCTATCAGAAGCACAAGCTGCAATGACAACAGGTAATGTGCACACACTAAGGCAAAGTTCAATGGTCACAGCCAGCTCTCTGTTGGAGGCGTCGTTTACAAAGATAACAACTAGTACCCAAAAGCTTCTTCCGTTTTCAAAAGCTGCAATAAGCTCTCGAAAAACAGCGATACTTGAGAAAGAAACAACTTCGACACAAGAGGCACCACCAAAAATATCCGAAAATGAGCGGCAAGAACCAACTAGAAATAAGATGGCAGCAAGTACTCGACCTGCAGCATCATCTTCGTTAGTAACAGCACACTCTCTTCCATTAAAAGTACCTGGAAAGATGACAACAAGTGCCTTAGTTCCAGCACCGCAAACGAATACGACAGTTAGCTCCTTACCGCAAACGCCAAAACTTACTGCGACTTCCCTAACAGCGGCGGTAACCTCGACGGCACAGTCAATTTTACCACCCGAAGCGCCATCAAAAATATTAGAAAAGAACTCTCCATTATTAGCATCACCAACTTTAATAGCATCAACCATAACCACAAAGCCATCAGTTTTAACAAGCATCAAGCCACAAAATACAAGCGTTGTTCACATTACTCATTTGCAATGCCCTTCCGATAGGGTGTACACGCCTTGCAAATCAAACTGTGATGAGTCCTGTCAGTACATGAACAATACGTGTAGGAAGACACTTTCGACACAATGCGTACCCGGATGCAAGTGCCCCGGTGGAACAGTGTTTAATGGCACAAGTTGCGTCAACCCAGCAGATTGCATTTGCTTCCATAAAGGTAGATACTATGATCCAGGAGCCACGTGGAATGATACCTGTGACAGGTGCTGGTGCTGGAATAACAGTGTCATCTGCCGACCTGTTCGTTGTCCTCCTCAGCTCGTTCCGTGTCCTAACAATTCCGTGTCTATGATACTACCTGGAGAATGCTGTCAATCTTGTGTACTAGCTAAAAATGAAACAAAGTGTATTGCACCCGAGTACAAATGCAGAGATAATAGCAAATGCATCACTAAACACTGGGTTTGTGACGGAGAAAATGATTGCAAAGACGGCGAAGACGAGAGAAAATGCACCACCAGTATTTCAGCGTGTTTTGAATCGTTAGGTAAGCTGAACTTTAGTTTAAAGATTACGTTTGTTTTACAAGCGAAAGTGTTTATTAGTCAATGACATACAAAAAAACGTTTAAAGTTAGGTTCCTTCTTTCACTGGATACTTTTTGATTGTGCATTGCCAGGGTTGTCAGATCGAGTTCCAGACCATTCATTCGCAGCCTCGTCTTCCGACAGTGTTTATTACCGACCAAGTGAGGGACGACTTCATAATACTCATGTCGAAGGACGGGGAAGCGGTGCCTGGTGCCCCAAACCTAATGATACAGTACCATATCTGCAGGTCCAGCTGGATTCTTTACAGAAAGTGACAGCAGTATCCACCCAAGGACACCCAGTTCTACACAAATGGGTGACATTGTTTCGTGTGTCATATAGTCGGAATGGAGTTACTTGGACCAAAATAGAAAAGGTGTTGACTTGCTGTGCAATACGAATTGGAAAAGGCCTATCAATACCTGCTCCTACGGGATTATTTTCCTTGACGAATTTCAGTCATTGAAGACGTCGTCCTGTCTATTGAAAAAAGCTGTTTCGAGAAAGCTTGTCGAAAAAATCGTAAAATGCACGCGTCAAGCCCGAAAGGTATTGTGGGTGTTTGTCAGGTCAAGGTTCCTTGACTTCAGACTTTCAGCGATATCTCAGAAAACGTCACTATAAGGAAGAAACATCGCGGGTTTGATGATTTAATATTTTTTGTTTGATGTTCTAAAATTCATCGATTACCGAATACCCAGATCACCTTTTGAGACTGCTTTGTGCACTTTTGTCCTTCTTTCGTTAAAGTTTTTCGAAACAGCTTTATACCAGAAATCGCCTCTCCCGCTAGTCCTTTTACTATTCTCGTAAATCTTCGAATAATTTCCAGCCTTCTTTTATTCATCCTCTTCACCGAATAATTTGAATCATATTTGTCATTTTGAACATTAACAAACACTTTTTATTTTGCGGTCGGAAATATCGACACATGTCGGTTTTTACTAAAGCCCTTCTTATCTTTACCACAGAGTCTGATCGCTACGTGCACCACAAATGCCGAGAAAATAAGGATGAGAGCGTCTCATGGTTAAACGAAATTGTACTACTTAATTAACCAGGCATTATATTGACTTAGTCCGATTTTTTCGGCAGACATTCTACGCGAACACGAACCAAACTTCCGTTGTTAGAAACAAGCTGCAACAGCCAGTCGATGCTCTTTACCTGCGAGTGTACCCAGTTCAGTCCCACATCGGTCCATGTCTGCGCCTGGAGTTCTACGGCTGCAACACAGGGGTCAACGTTCCGCCTGTGTGGCCTGAAGTTAGGTTTGTGACTCCAATCTTTCTACCTGTAGCTGATATTTTTCTCGTTTCGATAAAAAGGAAATCCTCCACCGCCCACTAACAGCCGCAAAATCTAAGTGCACAAGGTGGATCTTATCGGATAAGTGTAGACTGACTGGGAATAAAACAATAATGCATGGATCCGCTCCTTTACATGTTGAACGACTTCAACCTGGTATTTTTAGAGAACTCTTGCCTCTGCTTGGGTTATCGGTAGACGTTGTTCCCCGATGCAGATTTGACAAAGATCTGAAGAAGACATAAACTAACGGAGCTATCGGGGCGTATTTCACTTTCTGTAAACTAGAGGCTCCTGGGGAATGTTATTCCTTACAAGGGGAATACTTGTTCTTAGTGGGTAACGTTCCTCTGAATTATGTGAGATTTTACGAAACAGTCCACCGGTAGCTATACCTCTCCTCAGTCCGCCGCCAGCTATACTCTTCGATCAGTCCATCAGTAGTTGTACTCCTGAATGAAGAAAATTAAAGTAATAGTGATCGCTAAGTGTGTTGCCCGATCCAAAACTCTGATCAGTTCTCAAGCCTGGATCTTTCAGCTCAGAGTCTAGCACGGGTACGAACAGGTCTTTGCGTCTATCATAAGGACCATTATAATATCCTTCAAATGTTTCATGCTTACAATGGGTATTCTAACGTATCTTATCGACTGGGTTAATGGTTCGTATGTTCTTACGATACAGATGCGACAATGGTAAGTGTATTAATCGCAAAAACGTTTGTGACGGACGAGATGATTGCGGTGATGGCTCAGACGAGATGACATGCACTTCTCCTCCACCATGTACAGAGTTTCACTGTGATAACAACACTAAGTGCATTTCTTTCAGGTAAGTTTTCCGTCCACACGCTTGATTGAGCCTTAGGTCGTTCCAGTGTCCACCGATTTGCGACTGCAGTGAACGTTTTTTATTTTGTCTCAAACTCACTTAGCATCTCAAACTTGAACAACGCTTACGGGCTTAATTTCACACACGTCATGTCATTACCATGGGGCCCATCCTTATAGCACCTCAGTTTAGCAAATACTTCTTCTGGGGACGCAGATACTACTCCTTCCTGAAAAATGCCCCTCTGGCCCATTATCTCTTAGCTTTAAAGGAAGGACACATTCATATTGTTGCTGTGCCGTTCATTTACACCATGGATGACGCGAACCCTAGATTACTCAAGCTAGGAGGGGGGAGATGATGGATTCCATCACATCTAGATTCAATTTTCATATGGAATTCGTTGCCGCTATCAAACAAAGATCTTCTCCAGAAATAGCTGGTAAAAATCAGATGGGAGAACACTCCTTTAAACAAAAATTCCTATCTTTGTAGCAAGCATTTTGAGCCTGAGTGCTTTGCAAAGTCCCTAAGAGGACAGTGAATGCGACTCAAACCGGACGCTATACCTACGAAGTTTATTTTCTCCGCTGAAAAGCCACGGAGGAAAATATCTCATGATCGACACGCAGTAACAACAACAACGAAGAGAAGGGAGACTGCGAGATGTCTCAATGTGAGTAAGGATACGACTGTGGACATTAATGTCATTGATGAGCAACTGAAGAGCATCGAAAGCACGGATCCAATCGTGTTCAAAGATCCACTCGTCCTTGAAAACGAAAAACTATTGGAAGAGCTCAAACAGAAAGAACAAGATTTGTTGAATTTGAAAGAGAGATGGAGGATTAGAGAAGAAGAGCTTGACAAAAAGGTCAAGGAGTTCGAACTGCTATTACAATTGCAAGAAGAACGAACTGCAAGAAAGGAACTCGAAATACTTTATAAGGAAAGAGCATTTAGCTTAGAGACTGTTAAAGAAAATGACAAGCTACTTAAATTTTACTCTGGTTTTGAAAACTATGATATGTTTTCAATGGTCCTTGACTTCCTTGGAAGAGACGCTGCTAGTCATCTCATGTGTCAACCACCACCCGAACATATTTAGAAATGTGTACAGGGCTTACATAATAAAAGTCTAAGTTACGATTGCTTTTGGATATGAAAGTCATAGTAAGGTATGAAATTTACTTTGATTCTAATTAAACCTATAGATCTCTCTGTGATGGCCACACGGACTGCTTAGACGGCCGGGACGAGACTCAATGTCCAACTACAGCAGGAGTCACACGCACTCTAATAAGTGCTACACTGCAGGTAACAGCAAAGGTAACAACTCTCGTCTCCAGCAACAACCGAAGTTCCCCGAGCAAAACTACGACCCCTACATTAACGACAGAGATTGTGTCATCCACGTCAGAGATGGTGACACCTGTGTCGAAGATGACGTCACCCGCGTCGGTAATGATGTCACCCGTGTCGAAAATGACGTCACCAGAGTCGGAGATTATGTCATCCGTATCGGAGATGATGTCACCCTTTTCGGAGATAATAGTACCCGTGTCGAAGAAGAAGTCACCAGTGTTGAAGATGACGTCACCATTGTCGAAGATTATGTCATCCGTGTCAGAGATGATGTCACCTGTGTCGGAGATAATGTTACCCATGTCAAAAATGATGTCACCCGTGTCGAAGATTATGTTACCAGTGACGGAGATGCAAGTGATTCCCAGTCAAGTCACGGTAAAAATGAGCGCTATGAGCTTACCAGAGAGTGTAAAGATAGTCATAACACCTTCAACTTTGTCTGTGGGCACCACTGTAGTGAGGAAAGAGGGTAAGCGTAAAGATAGCAGGTTCTCTTCACTTTATGTAAGATGCATTGATACTACAAGGCTCTGATAGATCAAGGAAAGCTCCCTGAATCGCATGATGCAAATGAAAATGCCGTCAAGATTGATTCATGCTAGTTGGTTCATGAAGACAAGTAAATAACAACGAATTCTGACAGTAAAAAACAGACCGAATAATTTCTTTAAGTTTACGAAGACGTACCTTGACTGCTTTGATAATGTTCCTTGCTTACCTTCCATGCAACGATGTCATTTCAGAGTGCGGAGATAGTTGCACTTGTTATATGAATTGCCAGAGACAAATCAAGTGTCCATATAGTGCCAATTGTCCATCTTGCATCTGTAACAGTGGTACACTGAAGCGGCAAAATCGATGTGTCGTGCCCATGCCTGCGCCATGCATGCCACTTTGTGATATCTCTGGACACAAATTTCAGGTAAAAATAAGCAACCAAACCAATAGGACTACGTTTTGACCGAGTGTGGGGTTGTCTCGATGAATTTCAGGAAGCCAATATTCATGTTTACCCATCTCCTTTTTTAGTGTTAAATAGGAGTAACCTATTCTAATGGATAGCTTAGTTCGTACCTTGGCAGCTTGGGGTCGAATTGTTTGAACATGAATCAGGGAACTGAGTCGAATACAGTCATAACACATCAGATCGAGGACCTAAGCTCTTAATGTAATTCAAGTTCATATGTCACAAACTTGATCATAAAACAAACCCGATTGGGAGAGAATGTATCACGTGCCGTGGGCCGAGACTCACTAATTCCCAACGGCGAACCAAACTCTTAAAGGAGCACTCTTACGAAACCGCCCTATAATTTGAAAACCCGGAAA